AGAGTAAATCTGTGAAAATCAGATCTCAACTCTTCGGATATGTTGTATTCTAAACCAGTCATTCCCGATCCTAGCCGGCCAACAGAATCGTGTGGAAATAGGTAAATCTTTGTAAGTAGTGAAGGTACATTTATAAACATTACTACGCTATTAAACTTTGTTCAGTGGTAATTTAAAATGTAAATGTAACAGTAAGTCTTAAGCTTAAAAATTCTGTGCGTTGGAGATTGGGCACTTTCAAGATGCTGTGTGAACCCTGAAGTTATTGATCAAGCACCAACAGTTAACTCTTAGCACCGTTTTGTTTAGCATTGGAATGATAAGTGTGAAATGAGGGTAATAAGCCTTTTAAAGCTTGTAACCCATCCCTAATGGACTGACATTAGTTGTCACATTTGAGTTTGTGAAGCTGTTCTAGAAGTAAAATTAGGTAGTTGATGGGCTGAGAACTCCCAATCAATAAGGTAGAACATTGGGCTTCTGTTCTTCCTGCTTGTGAGCTCTTTTTTAACTGTAACTTCATTTTTTTATATTCTCCATCAAAAATCACTTAATGAGAGAATTACAAAATTCGTTTTAAAGCCTGTTTCTGATTTCTTGACGTGGGATCATAGGTTTTAGTGCAATCCTTTGTGTAAACTTCAGGCAGGTGCTGGTATTACCTGGGAGAATTGGCCAGGGTATTCATTGTAATACAAGCTACAGAAAGCCAGGTTTTTGTTTTAAGTAACCTCGAACCCACGAGCCCGAGATCAAGAGTCACATGCCCCACTGAGCCAGCCAGGCTGCCCCCCAAAAGCCAGTTTTTCATGAATTTCCCCGGTTCAGGCTTTGCAGTGCAAAGGGACAGATGGTAGGGCCTGTTCGTGAAAACTAGGGAAAATGGGTGTCTCCAATAGGGTGGAAGTTAGCTGTTGGTATGTGTTTACAAATAGGGGATGCCATCCTTTGAATTAAACTCCCTTAGAATCTGTACTAAATTTTGCTCTAAAACTTCGTGAACTAAAAAGCATGTTTCTATTTCTGTGTTTCCCCATGAAATAGGTATGGTAACAATTCACTTTAAACAACTGTGGAGTATATAACTGCTCACTGTTGAGGTACTGACACACAATACGTTGTATATGACAAAGTGGAACATTCAGGGAAAAAGATGCGGACAAAATAGATGAAGTTGGCACTCCATACACAGATGTCTGGCCATTGTAATGCGCTTGTCTCAATATTCTGTGCTCTGTCGATATTTGATGTGTATTCTATTCCTATGAAGTAGGTGATTGGTTCCTACTCACAAATGAGGCAGTGAAACCTGGGGGGATTTTTTTTTTTAAGATTTTATTTATTTATTTGACAGAGAGCACAGGTAGGCAAGAGAGGCAGGCAGAGGGAGAGGGAGAAGCAGGCTGTCCACCCAGCAAGGAGCCCGATGCGGGGCTCGATCCCAGGACCCTGGGATCATGACCTGAGCTGAAGGCAGAGGCTCAACCAACTGAGTCACCCAGGTGCCCCATCTTGGGGGCTTCTTAATGGACAGTTATATACTATGTGCATAGTAGTTTTTGTTTTATTTCAAGTTTTGATTTAAATATATGCCTAGTAGCTTTGAGTTCAGGGCTATTCTAGGACTCTTGGATGTAAGTGATCTGCCACCCTCTTGACCCCTGGGTCAGTTTTTGAAAAACTGTCACTGATGACAGGCTGATAATCCTGTTCCCCAGTATGCTTTGGAATTATTACTTGACAAGCCTACCCAGGAAGAGTCTGGTGAATTGGATTTGGGCCCAAAGTGACAAGTGGGGGCTGTGGCTTACCTCACCACTCTTCGTTAAGTGCAGTCTTCCAACATCAACAGGGTAACCCACTTTTGAATACTGAAGTAACAGGAAAACAGCCAGTTAACACCTCTTAAGCTTCCAGAAAATGTTCCTAAAGTTGTTAGAAGAAAAACCCTACAAGATTATATGGTAAGATAAAAATAATTTTAGGTAAGTAGGTCTTGGGAATCAGGAATACTTTAGCTAGAAGAACTTTTTAGAAGGAATTTGGAGACTTTATTCTCAAGCAAATGGAGGGACTCTCCCCTGGCTTATACTGTTAGGTGAGTGAACGCTTGGAAATGCCCAAGCTCTTTTCCCTTCCAATCTTGACAGCCTAAAATCTGAGAGGAAATAAATTCAAATGTGCAAATTTGAGCATAATCAAGGATCTGCTAGATGCTGAGGATGTAAAGGGGCATAAAGATGCTCGAAGCCCAACTTCCTGACCCTGTGAGGTGGGTACCCTCAGAGACTGATTCTACCCATGAAGAAACTTGGCCACGGCCACCCAGTTCATGGAGGAGATAGACTGTTCTCCAGTGGGCTAAATCCGGGTCCTTGCTCTATTTCCCATGCTCAGAGAGTGATGCAAGAGTCACTGATTTTGCTGGGAGTGCCAGAAGTGAAGGCAAGTCTTGACCGTGGAAGCAGAAAAAAGACAACACTGGGAATGAGGAGGGGCAGACTAGAAATCACAAGAAAACCCTCTGCCTGTCTCACCACCTGTTCAGTCTTGAGCAACCCCCTTTAATTTCTCCCTCTCCCCCACCTCCATTAAATCCTGTTGACTCTTAACTCTAAAGAAGTGCATCCAAAACTTTGCGCTGAACATCTCTAGTGTCCTCATCCGGGCTGCCCCCTTCCCCCGGGACACCCCACATCAGTCTATAGCCACCCCGTTCTTCCTCCCTTGGGCCCCTTCCCACAGCCTTGGGAGAAATGCTTCTAAAACAAGTCCTTTCAGGTCATACCCCCAACCGCACACTGAATCACATCTAAACTCCTCGGCTCGCAAGGCCCTGTGTGACGGCCTCGCCAGGCTTTCCTCCGGAGGTCCACCTCTTACTAAGCTGCAGCCAAACCCTCTGCCCACATGCCTTTTGTCACATCCTTGGCTTTATTTCCTTCGAATCTATCCAAATCTGAAATGACATTGTTGGCTTTTTTATTGACAACCTCCACTAGAATGTGCTAGAACAGGGGTTCGCCATGTTTTCCACCGCGGCCCCAGTAGTGGTGCATAGTGAACCCGAATAACAATCCATTGGGAGTCATGCAAGAATGAATGAGTGTTCCTGCTTTCCTTCCGACTTTAACACTGAAGCCTCTATAACCTTAATAGATGGGACCCGATTTGTCATTTTGAGGATTAAGTGAAAATGCATGTGAAAACCCAAGACCTGACACATAATAGTCAGTAAATGCTGGAGTAGAATGGTAAGTTCTGATAAAGTAAACCTGCATCCACACCGTTCCTTGCAAAGTTGTAAAGAAAAATCTGGCCCCCAACTTCCAACAGTTGGTTCGCAAGCCTCCCGGGAGCCTCTGACTGTAATCCAAAAACCAACCCCCCTACTCAGAGGACAGGGAAAGACGAAAGAAAGGCAGGCCTACCAGGTTGGCAGGCGGCAGGTTGAACAAGCACAGGGAACGGACCTACCAAGCTTGTCTTGGGAGCTGCAAGATGGTGGATCCCCACACCCACCCACCACATCCTCACCGTTCATGGGCCTCACTGGGGTTTGGTCACGCCCCCCCCCGATGGTGCCAGCACCACATCACTGTCTCAAGGCCGTCCTTGGGGCAGGGGGGAGCTTCTGGGAGCAGGGAAGACAAGCAGAACCCACCTTCCAAGGACAGGAGAGGGGTCGAGAAGCCTGTCCAGTTCGTGGGCCAACTAGCAGTCACATGCTCGGGACCTTCCCCAGGACTGATCTTTCCAGGCAGGCAATTTTTATTAGGTCCCCACTGGATAATGCTCTTCTTATGCCATTAAGCCTTGGTCCCTAAATGAAATAGGATCAGGTGGGTATACCTTTACCATTGATAAAGGGAGTCAAATCAATAGCGTTAGTGGTGAAACCCTAGGTAAGAGGCATTCTCTTAAAGTTGTTGTGAAGACTTCTTCACCACTGTTTTTAAATGTATTTTGGAAAGTTCTAGGCAACGAGAAAATATATTTTTTAAAAAAGGAAATAATTAGGACGCCTGGGTGGCTCAGTTGGTTAAGCGACTGCCTTTGGCTCCGGTCATGATCCTGGAGTCCCGGGATCGAGTCCTGCATCGGGCTCCCTGCTCAGTGCGGAGTCTGCTTCTCTCTCTCTCCCTCTGCTCCTTCACCATGCTGTGCTCTCTCTCTCCCTCTCAAATAAATAAATAAAATCTTAAAAGAAAAAAAAAGGAAGTAATTATTTGCAGCATAGCTTCATGCTTAAGAGTTAGGCTCTGGAGGGGAGCCTGGCTGGCTCAGTCGGAAACTGCGACTCTTGGCCTCAGGGTTGTGCCTTTCATTTAAAATATTTTCTGGGACGCCTGGGTGGCTCAGTCAGTTGAGTGTCTGCCTTTGGCTCGAGTCATGATCCCGGGATCCTGGGGAGCAAGCCTGGTGTGTGCAGACAGAGCAGGGAGTGGGCGTGGCTGCCGAGACCCGCAGAGCAATGGGAGGTGTGACAGGAGCTGGATCTGGGGGCTGGCAGGAGCTTCGCAGTGGACGTGCTGAGGCTGAGATGCATATGAGCTTTCACTGGAGATTTCAGGGAGATTGTTGGATAGGAGCCTGGGGTCTAGGAAGGAGGTCTGGGCTGGAGAGCAGAATTTAGAAGTCACCAGCAAAGACCTGGTCTTAAAGCGAAGAAGCTAGATGAGGTCACCAAGGGAGCAGGGTAGCTACAGAAGAGCTCCAAAGACTGAGGCACTCAACATTGACTTCAGAGCCCCGAAGGAGCCTGACGAGGAGAGCCAGGCATGTATGGAGCCTGGAAGCCAAAAGAAGAAAGTGCTCTAAGAAAGAGAGGCAGCGGCCACTCTCAGATACGACCGGGTCCAGTAGGGTAAGGTCTGAGAATTGCCCACTGGAACTGGCAATGTGGGGATCACTGTGGTCTTGATTCAGGGGCTCAAGACCCAACTGGAGTAGAGTCAAGAAATGTTGGGGTTTTAATCAAAATGAGCACACTTCTGGGGCGCCTGGCTGGCTCAGTCGGTAGAGCATGCGACTCCTGATCTCCCGGTGGTGAGTTCGAGTCCCGTGTTGGGCGTGGAGCTGACTTAAAAAAAATAAAATAAAATAAAAAGAGAATTGGAGAAATGGGAAACAGCAAGAAGAGGTGACTCCAGAAGTTTTGCTTACAATGGAGAGAAATGGAAAGTAGCTGAGGAGGAAAATGGGATCTTGGGGTGGGCAGGGGTCTCCCCACAGGTGGGAGAAATAGAATGATTGTTTGCTATTGTGTGTGTTCTTTTCTTTTTCTTTTTTTTTTTAAAGATTTTATTTATTTATTTGTCAGAGAGAGAGAGCACAAGCAGGGGGAGCGGCAGAGGGAGAGGGAGAAGCGGACTCCCCGCTGAGCAGAGAGCCCGATGCAGGACTTGATCCCAGAACCCTGGGATCATGACCTGAGCTGAAGGCAGGTGCTTAACCCACTGAGCCACCCAGGCGTCCCTTTTGCGTGTTTTCTATGTCTGTGTTGTCTGGGTTGTGAGGATTGTATGAATCAAAACACATCAAGGGGCGCCTGGGTGGCTCAGTCGTTAAGCGTCTACCTTCGGCTCAGGTCATGGTCCCGGGTCCTGGGATCGAGCCCCGCATCGGGCTCCCTGCTCGGCGGGAAGCCTGCTTCTCCCTCTCCCACTCCCCCTGCTTGTGTTCCCTCTCTTGCCGTGTCTCTCTCTGTCAAATAAATAAATAAAATCTTAAAAAAAAATGTCAAGTGCTTGGGACTGTTCCTGGAACATAGTAAATGCTCAATAAATAGCACTGCTAGTTTTATGATATAACTGTATTATTAACAAATAATATTTATCTTGCCAAAGAGTTTCAACTACAAAATTTTTGGTTTTAATGAGATCTCAATAAGATAGCAGGTTATAAAATATATAAAAGTCAACAGAATTTCTATATATTACCAATAACTAGTTAAAATTTATAATGAAACTAATTGCTGTTTAGAAGAGCAACATATAAAAATGTAATATAAAAAATTCTATCTACAATGTCCACTAAACTATAACACATCAAAAAATAAACTTAGGAAATGTGTGAGAATTATTTAAAAAAAAAACACCCTTTTGAAGGCCATAGAAAAGATCTGAATAAATCAAGAAAGATGTATGTTCCTTGATAGAAATACTCAACACTGTAAAGATCTTCGTTCTTTCCACAGTGATCTACACACAAACAAACTCAACAAAAATTCTAACAAGATTTTTTAATGGAAACTGACACTTTAATTCTGAAGTTCATCTGGGTGAGAAAATATGCAAGGACTGAGAAATTTTAGAAAAAGGGGAAAAGACTTCCTTTAAACCCATGTCACGGTAGGAGCACCTGGGTGGCTAGGTTGGTTAAGCCTCTGACCTCTTGGTTTCAGCTCAGGGCATGATCTCAGGGTCATGATCTCAGGGTCCTGAGACTGAGCCCTGCCAAGGTCTCCCTGTTCAGTGGGGAGTCAGCTTCCCCCCCTTTCTCTCCCTCTTCCTCTGCCCCTCCCCCCAAATAAAAAAATAAAGTTAAAAAAAAAAAAAGAACTAGAACCAAGATTACTTGGAATCCAACATACAGTGTAGTGTTAAAAACTTGGGTAAGAGAGGCTCCTGGCTGGCTCAGTCGGTGAAGGATGCAGCTCTTGATCCTGAATTCGAGTCAGACCTTGGGTACAGAGATTACTTAAAATAAAATAAAATCTTAAAAAACAAAAAACAAACAACAACTTGAGCGGCTCCTGGGTGGCTTAGTTAAGCGGCTGCGGCTCAGGTCGTCATCCAGGGATCCTGGGATCAAGCCCCAAGTGAGGCTCCCTGCTCATGGGGAGCCTGCCTCTCTCTCTCCCTCTGCAGATCCCCCTGCTCCTGCTCACGTGCTCTCTGTCAAGTAAATAAAAAACACTTGAATAAGTGAACTGTTCAATTTTTTAAGAGTGAGATAATTGCACTATTCACGGAGGGGCATGCAAACGTTCATACATGTTTTAATACTCTTCTCCAAATCTCTACTTGTATCCCCTAGAAATGTAATGATATGCATTTCTAGGATAAACCTATATATTGCAGCACTGTTTTGTATACGGGAGAAATCTGAACAACGTAAAGTCCATCAGTGGAGGAATGGCTAGATAAAACTGTATGTAGTGATCCTGAGAAATACCATGTAGTCATTAAAAAGAACGAGGCAGAGAAACCTATGTATGCGGATGTAGGAAAATGTTCAAGCTACACAGTTACATTAAAAAAGCAAACTGCGGGATAGTGTAGCATATTTCTTCCTATGAGTTTAACGACAAACACAGTAAACAACCTCAAACCTTTGTAAGTATATGCGTGGATGTGGACATACCGTGTACGCGCAGAGATTACGTGCACTTGCCTGGTAAAGGTCTGGAAACACACGCTGAGCGGCTGGCCCCGGTAGCCCCCCCGGTAGCCCACCGTAGGTGTTCCGGCAGAGAAGCCACTCCTCCCAGGCAAGGCCTCGGACTCCGCTACTCACCTGTTTACAGCCGCAGCAAGGCTGTACGGAGTGCGAAACACCTGCCCTCTCCCGTGAGGTCTCTCCTCGGGAGAGATGGCCGAGCATCTCCAGCTGCCCTGACGAGCCCCACCCCAGCCTCGGACCCAGCCTGGGTCCGTGGTTCCGCTTCCCGAGAATCCGCTGTTCGGACCCCCAGGTTGCATCCCTGCGCTGTGACCAACGTGAGCAACTAAGGCACCTGCAGGCGTTGAGGAGGAATTAGCTTGGCCTATCCCATAACCGCCGGCAGGACAGGTAACCTCCACGAGCCTCAGTTTACCAGTCTGAAGCACAGGGACCCCTGGAGCAACAGGAGGTGACTTCATGTGGCTTAGGAGTGAGCATTTCGTTTTGGGTTTATTTATTTATTTAACTACTCTCTACCCCGAACGCGGGGCTCGAACTCACACCCGGAGATCGAGTCTCGTCCTCCACCGACGGAGCCAGCTAGGCGCCCCCAGGAGTGAGCATTTTTAGGATGTATAATAAACATTGTACATGAACCCTGGGGTTTCAGGTAGCACCTCCTGACCTTTAGGTTTGGAGTGGATGAGAACATTTTAATGATAATCGTGGAGATGGGGCTGGCGAGGCAAAAGTGACCGAAGTGGTAGGAAGACGTCTGGGGACGCGCGACGAATGCTCGGCGCACAGCCGACCCTGGGGGAGCCGGGCCGGGGTCCCCCGGTGTCCCGTCCACCTCAGCTCGGGGACGCCGGTCCTCCACGCCCCTCGAGCCCAGCCCGTCGCCCCTGCGCCCCGTTGTCGCTCCGGCGCGCTTCTGGGATCGCCTCCAAACCTCTCTCCCCCTGCAGCCTGGCCTCCTCTCCTCTCCCCTCCCTCAGGCGTCCGGGAGACCTCCCCGCAGCGCCCCGGCAGCCGGCCAGCCCCCAGCCCCTGTCGCTCCGCCCCCTCACCCCGCCCCTCGCCTCGGCCCCTCGCCCCCCCCCCCCCCCCCCCCCCCCCCCCCCCCCCCCGCGCGTCCCCCGACTCCAGCGGCGGCGCCCCCAGACCACGCCCCTCGGGAATCCCACCGCCCCCACCAGGACCACGCCCACCGGTTCCCGCTCCACCCTCAGACCACGCCCAGACCACCCCCCTCGGAGGGTCCCGCCACACCCTCCCTGACCACGCCCCTTCCAGAGGGCGTCTCCTAAGACCACGCCCCTCGGAATCCCGCCGCGCCCTCCCTGACCACACCCGCAAGAATTCGCCCTCCAAGGGCGCTTGGGTGGCTCAGTCCTTAAGCGTCTGCCTTCGGCTCAGGTCATGATCCCAGGATTCTAGGATCGAGTCCCGCATCGGGCTCCCTGCTCATTGGGGAGCCTGCTTCTCCTTCTCCCACTCCCCGACTCCCCTTGCTTGTGTTCCCTCTTTCGCTATCTCTCTTTAAAAAAAAAAAAAGAATTCGCCCTCCAAGACCGCGCCCCTCGTGTTCCCGCCGGGCCCGGCCACGCCCCTCCGCTCGGGTTCGGCCCCGAGCCCTCCCGCTCCCGCCCCCCCACCTGCCGTGCCCGCCCGGGCCTCAGCTTCCCCGGGCAGGACGCGGGCTCGCTGTCCCCGCAGCTACTCCGGCCCCCGAATTTGGGACCCTGGCCCGAGTGCCTGGCCGCCCGGAGGCCCACGAACTGCAGCCCGGAAGGTGCCGCCCATCCTGCCGTCGGCCGGCTTGCACGCGGCCCCGGGTAAACAAAGCTGGGCAGTGCTCAGCTGCCTCGGGAACCGAGACGCCGGTCGCACGTGGCCCCCGCAGCCGCGTCCCTCGCGTGCGCCGCAGCCTTCGAGCCGCCTGGACCTGGCTCCGAATGACCGGGCCGCAGAGCTGGGCGGACGCTCCGGGGAGCCCCGGACCCCGGCCTCCCCCGGCTGCCATCCTCCGGCTTCGGCCTTGTCATTACTTCGGGCTCAGCCTCTGCTGGGAACTGCGAGAAAGGATGACCGGGCGGCCCCTGGCTCCCCAAGGTCCCCAGGTCCCCGGTCAAGCTGAGGCGCATCCTTCCGGGACACTCCGGAGGGAAGGGGCTGGAGCTGAGCACTTGGCCAGCTTGTCATTCCCGATGGCCTCGAGGATGAGCAGGACTTACAGGGGTCAGGACCAGAGACACCCCGCCAGGCTTCAGGATCAGATCTTAGGAACCAGTCCTGCCGAGTGCAGCAAAGAGATCAGCTAGGAGGTCACCACAAGGCCTGCAGGGCCGCCCCGGGGGGAGAGGGAGTCCCAAGTCCTGGAGAAGCCAAGTCTTGGGAACACCAAAGGTGGACAGGTATTTAGATGACCTTGAGCATGGGGTGGGAGCTGCCAACGGCGTCTTACAGGCCCCGCTCAGCTTCTCCCATGGTCTGGGGAAGGGGCCTGGGAAGGCCTGAGGAGGAGACCCCAGCACAAGTATCCCCTTCAAGGCGGCCTTGCCCTGAGGTTTTAACAGGACGTCCCCCTCACCTGGCAGAATCCAGCACTTGGCAGCGAGCCCAAGAGAAGGCAGGTTAAAGCAGTCCTCAGCAGAGCAGGATATTTGTCCAAGGAGTGGGCACATCCAGAGAGGATGCTACCTCCTCTCTTGGGGATTTCGGCTAGGTTCTACTTGTGATCTCCTCAGAGCCTCCCTCCCTTCCCCGCTGCCCTGCCGGATCAGGGGCGGAGGCTCGGCCGATGTCCGCTAGTGGGTCCCGCTCTCCGGAAATGAAGAACAGTGGCTTAGCCCAAGATTTCCAGGGCCCCAGAAACTTAATGTTGAAAACGGTTGACAGACACTTGAAAGGAGGATATTTGGCTTCATGTTTGGGGTGAACAGAGGTTTTGGAATATCTTCTCCACCGTGTGCCGAGCAACCATGCTAAGTTTTCATGCTCCTATCACAGCTACCCTGAGAAATAAGCATCGATCCCCCAGTTTCAGAGACGGGGACGCTCAAGCTCCCAGAGGTCCCGCATCCTCGCAATTCGTGCATCGAGGAGGCTGGCTGTTTGGAGCGGCGGCTATCTACGTGTCGCCTGATGGTTTTCCTCGGACTCGTTCAGTTCCTAGTTAACATGTTTTTCTTACATACTTAGCAATCCTTACCAAACCTTTAAGATCAACGTTCTCTGTTGCAACAGCTGCTGTGGTTTCTGTTTCCTGACAGAGGTTGGGACCAGGAGTGGGGTGTCAGGTGCGATAGTAGCCACTGCCCCCCCCTCCTTCCCAGGCCCACGTTCTGTGGCCCCGTGGGAGAGACAGCACCACGTGGTGGCCTCTGAGTCAAAGCCTCGGCTGGACCCAGGAAGACGGAGGCCCATGCCTTCACCGTGGTGACTCCCACAGGCCCCGTAACTGGGTCACTCCACCTGCCAATAGGTCAGCCGCTTCTGAGAAGGTACGTGGTCAGTCCAGCTAATTCCATGGGCTTCCGCGCTTCGCTGCCGTGCTTCTGAGGTGACTGACTTCCCTGATCGGACGCCGTGCCACTGGGATGTTAGCACAGCCAGTGAGCCAAACCCAGGCATGGCGGTGCCGGCAGAAACCTTGCGGGCGGGAAGGGCCGTTCCACCATGGGACGGGTCCAGGGGGACCCACCTGCTGCTGGGTCCCCGCGCAGGCCTACGGCGGGACTCAGTGTTGGTCTCCGCTGCTGGCACAGAGACAGCAGGTGGCCCCGTGAGCTGGTGAGGGGAGGCCGCTTGGTTTCCTGGGCCCAGGTCCTGCCGAGTGGGGAGAATCTCCTTGACCACTGTCCTTTGGGGATTCCCTAGACCGCAGTGGGGGGTGGGGGGGGGCCCTACAGGTGTCCACGTTCCGTCCGAGCCGGCGTATCACACAGAACCATCTGTAAACAGGACCTGAACTCTTTCCCCGCCAGTCAGCTGATCACGGGAATTTTGTATGCAGTTCTAGGATTAAGGGGAAGAGAGGCGAGAAGGCAGAGTCTCTGTGGAAGGCACGTGAGCCGCCTGCTCACACCACTTATTTGTGCCCTCTGAACCCGCTGGGGGCCGACCTCCCAATGCATTCCACGTGATAGGAGGTGTGTGCGGCGCATGCCCCATCCTACGGCCTGGTGAGCAAGTTCGCATGCGGCACACACATGGCAACTCGATGAGCCCTGGTCAGGCCCTCGGTTTCTACCAGGGACCGGGAGCAAAGCCGGAAGAACGGCATTCTGCAGAAAGGCAGGGATTTGCTCCAAAGCCCCGGGGTCTATGCTGTGCTGTACTGGTGCTTCCCAGAGACTTCATCTAGCACCCACCCTTGTCGCAGACGCTTCTCCTGCTTGCTCTGGTCCTCACTCAAAACTACGGCTTCATGTATTTCTTTAAGTTGACTCACGGACGCCTGGAGGGCTCAGTCGTTAAGCGTCTGCCTCTGGCTCAGGTCATGATCCCGGGGTTCTGGGATCGAGCCCCGCATCGGGCTCCTTGCTCAGTGGGGAGCCTGCTTCTCCCCCTCCCCCTGCATGCTCTCTTTCTCTCTCAAATAAAATCTTAAAATAAATAAATAGACTCACTATTTTTTGCCTAAATAGATGCAACCTCGCTCCTAGCAATGCTGCCTGTGACAGGCTGATTCTATTTTTTCTTATGTATAAGTAAAATCAATAGTCAAGATTGCAAATGAGAAGTTTTCATGCAAACGCTCTCTGCAGACCCCAGAGCACTGTGGGGGCGCCCTCGGGGACACACCGTCCAGGGGACAAGGGGCCAGGACCGGCACAGCTGGGCCCACGGGATACTGCATGATAGCACTTTGCAGTCCCTGCTCTTGAAACCAGTCCAAATCTGACTCAGCCCTTGACCCGCAACCTGGGCGCAAACTTAATTTCAGCTGGTACTAGGGTACGGTGGCCGATCTGCCACCGTGATGCTCTTCCAGAACGTCGCCACCCCCCCCATGGAGAGGGGGGAGTCTAGTTACCGTCCCCTTGCATCTGGACGGGCTCACGACGTTCCCGTGGTCAGCAGAAGGGTGCAGATGTGACCCTGCGCCACAGAGGGTGACACGGCGGCCACCTCGTGAGCCGGAACCAGAAGCACCAGGTAGGAAATCTGACGCCCCCCCCACACCCCCTGAGGATTCCACGCGGCAAGGAGGCTCCACCGAGCCCTGTAACTGGGTGCACGGGTGACAGAAGCTCGCGTGATTCCAGCCACCACCGCCCCCAGCCTGAAGCCCCAGATACCCTGGACTAAAATCAGACTGCATCATTGTTGGTTTTTTGTGTTTTTGTGTGTTTTCCCAAACTCCCACCCCATGGGAACTGTCCGCATTGAAGAAAAATGGTGGCTTTGTGCCGGCAGGTTTGGGGTGGTTTCGTACACAATTAGGGTGGTCTTCTTCAGGTGACAGTGTGGCGACTCCCTCGGTGTCCCCATCCTCCCTTCCCACAGCATCTGCCCCTTGTCCCCACGCCGCCCACAAGCTTTGGGAAAGCTGCCTTCTCTCGGGGCTCTCCAGGTGGACAGCGAGGCTGAGGACCAGCACCGGCCTCATCCAGACAGCCACAGGCTCAGGGCGGGGACATGTGGGGCTCACTTGGAGCCAGCGATTGTGGACAGGATTTTTTTTTTTTTAATGTTTTATTTTTAAGTGATCTCAAACTCACCATCCTGAGGTCAAGAGTCGTGTGCTCTTCCAGCTGAGCCAGCCAGGTGTCCCTGATGGGAACTTTTACGAAAAAGAATGAGGAGTCCTCCCTCTTCAGAGACAGACTCCAAGTGTGCCCCCCGCACACATACAGGCCCCCGCCTCCTGCAGCCAAAGAAGTGTGAGGCTCCGAAAGGCTTGGCGACCTCACTATGACCAGCCTTAGGGTGAAAGGGGACGCTGGAAACCCGATGAGAAGCAGAACACAGAACAACAACAATAAACCAGGATGCAGAAGGGAGGGCTGTGCTGCTGGATCAAACCCACCCTAAAGCCCTCTCTAAGTGACCCCAGGGGGCACGTTGTCTTCCCTTAATCAAGGAAATGGGTCAGGTGGAGGCATTTAAACTAAACAGGTTCAATAAGGATTCTAGGACTTTTGCTTCAAATGTTAGGATAAGAACATTCTTTCTCCATCAGGACGGCATTGTGCACAGACATGAGCCCTGAACTGTATCTGCTCGAGGGAAATCGATGTGGGAACGAAGCTGACGTGCAGAAGTGGAAAGAGCCAAGGGAGCAGTAGAGAGAAGTTGCCAGAACCCCGATGATGTCAGAAGCCTCTGGAAGCCCTGTCCACCTCTGCGCTGTTCAGGTAGTATGCTAATAAAGTGCCATGATTTTATTTATTTTTTAGTTGTTGGAAATAGGTTTTATTTACTTATTTATTTTTATGTAAGCTCTGCACCCAACATGGGGCTCAAACTCAGACCCTGAGATCAGTCGCCCACTCCTCTGACTGAGCCAGCCAGGTGCCCCAGTAGGCTTTATTATTTATTTATTTATTTATTTTTAAGATTTTATTTATTTATTAGAGAGAGAGAATGAGAGTGAGAGAGAGAGAGCATGAGAGGGGGGAGGGTCAGAGGGAGAAGCAGACTCCCCGCCGAGCAGGGAGCCCGATGTGGGACTCGATCCCGGGACTCCAGGATCATGACCTGAGCCGAAGGCAGTCGCTTAACCAACTGAGCCACCCAGGTGCCCCAGGCTTTATTTTTTAGAGCCGTTTTAGGTTCCCAGCAAAATTAACCAAAATGTACGGAGAGCTCCCCTACACCCCTGCCCCCACCCATTGTCTGATGTCCAGTCCGGCCCACTGTCAGCGTCCCCACCAGAGTGGGACGTCTGTTACAGTCAGTGACCCTATGGTGACATGTCACGATCGCCCAAAGTCCGTAGTTGGCATTGGGGTTTATGCTTGGTGCTGTACTTTCTGGGGATCCATCCTCCTTCTGTCACCCCAAACATTGTCACGCCCCTAGCACTCCTCTGTGCCCCCCCTCTTCATCCCCCTCCCCCAAACCCTGGCCACCACTGATCTTTTGTCTCCATGCTTTGCCTTTTCCAGAATGTCATAGAGTTGGCGTCAGACCGCATGTAGCCTTTTCAGATTGGCTTCTTTAGCTTAGTAATGTGCATTTTGGGTTCCTCCGTGTCTCTCCATGGCCAGATGGCCCCGTTCCTGTCAGCGCTGAATAGTATTCCACTGTCCGGATGGACCACAGTTTATGTATACATTCACCCACTGAAGGACGTCTTGGTTGCTTCCGAGTC